TCAAAATAAAAAACTACTTCTCTGCAAGGATATGCGGAAATATTAGTTCCAAATTATGCACCGAAGCTTCTTTGCAAAACCTGGTAGTACATGGGGCAAATCGTGCTTTTCTGCGGCACAAAAATAGATGCGAAACTAAACAATATATTTGAAATAACAAGAGGTAGAGGAAACAATAATGGAATATAATTCGGGCTAGTAAAAAACTACTCATACCTAGTAGCGACAAGTAAAAAATTTGTCTGGAGTACGGACCATTCAGAATACAAACAAAAACGTTTAACGAGTCTAAGAAAATTCAGTAAAATGATAAAAGTTTCAGATTTTTAATTTTTATGGCAATTAACAGGGCACTGATGCATACCAGGCCATGCACGCGGCTTTGTGTGCATGGTCCGTTGATGGAACAGTAGTCATTGACGTGATTCTTCTAAATATACAGCCCCAGCCAGCTTCCGGCCACCTCTTGAGAGGGAGCTAAGAAGGGGTTGGAAAGGAGCTAGGTTCTTCACACTTTTCTTGTACGTAATGTTTAATTCACAGGCAGTATTCCGTAAATGTGCATGCAGTTTTTGTTTCAAACAAGCGTTGTTAACAAAAAACAGAACTGTCGAACTTCTAAAATTTCCCTTTTGGCTTACCTGGACGAGCCTGATATAATGCACATATCCGTCTACCTGTGTCAGGTGCGCTGCACTTATCTCCCACATGAGCCGCGTTGCGCTAAGCCTGAGTACTGGTACTACCTATTGAGGTCTATATGGTGGTGTTACTGTGGTACGTGATAAAATGCCCTGTTGCTGTCTTTTATGATACGTTGTCAGACTTCATGTGTAGTTTAGTACTATTACTGTATATATTGTCCGTAGATACAAGCAGGTAGTTTAAACTTGGTTTTGGTATCCGTTGTAGTAAAGTGATCTAAAAGGGTGCCTTTAGAGCCTTGGCTTATCGTTTTTGTTATCGTTGCTAAGTAAATCTGAAGCATAAGTATTATGGAATCAGTCGGAGCATCGCGTATAAGTGAATAAGGGGCGAGAAGAGGGCATACTATGGCAAGATGCAGTCTGCTGACCCTTTTCCGTTTCATCGTCGTCCTCATTGTCAAGTCCCTCACCAGAACTGGAAATGCCTGGACTTACGCCCAAAGTTTCTACCGGTAGCTATTTCATCGATCCAGATTATTATTAATGTATATTGTGTAAAACGTTTAGAAGGAATATCAGAAATATATCAAACAGTTGTTGTAACCAACTTTCGGCTTCACGTCTTCACCACCACATCCGCACCTTACCTCATATTGTCCCGGTCGGAAAACACTGTAAGTACGCTTTTCAGTATATCTTTAAAAGCTGCTTATATTAGTACAGTCCAATTTCATACTGGTTTCAAAGTAAAATGTGCTACTAAAACGCCATGCTTCAGTATTATGCTTTTCACCGTTTACTTGTTAGCACGTCCGCTAAGACATAGTGTCAGCAAATTTCTTCCCTTGTAAGAAGTCGCTAGCGATAGCGAAAGCCATGCACAATATGTACCGTAAAAAAACATGACTTATTGTACATACCACATTGTTATCTATTTGTTTAATGAATTTTCCACAATCATTAACTGGCGTTGAAGTGTCCTGTCATTCTGGTTCGTTCGCGATTTCAGAATGACGCATGGAAGTTTAATATGGCAAGGACTGCGAGGAAAGTGGTATCGGAAAGGGAGGACTGGATTAAAAACACAAAAATAAGGCGCCCAAGCGCATTTTTCGGTGAGGGGGCACAAGGGGGCAACGCCGGGGATTTGCCCCGCCATAGCCCCTTCGTACCTCGGCCCCAGCTTCTTTATATCATGGAGAACAGAACTTTATGGTGGCGCAAATGATCATTGTAGGAACTTTCTTCCCGTTGCTGAAAAGGATTTTTTACCCTATTTGCCCTTTAAGAAGAAATGCAATCATAAACCACCCGCCGTTGAAAAACTCGAAATCACAAATACTTTAAAAAAGAAATCGCTCTTGGAGGCGTTGCCGACTAACCGGCTTGTAAGAGTACTTACGGGAATATAAGCAATGACGCAGCTTTTGTAAAGGTGAACCTACCAAGCTGTCGATGAAGTCAGAAGTAAACATATCGCAGAATTAGTTGAAATCTCTTAATGTCCTGTGTGGTTACATATGGTCCAGTAACAAACCTGGGAACTGATCCATGGCCTTTGTCTGCAGATGGAAAACTGGAGACCGACGACCAAGTTAATCAGCCCTCTTTTCTGATTTTCTGCAGTCTGCGTTTGCCAAGAACATAATTCTTTATTCGCCTCCCCACCCGTTCGTAAACCAATGTCTCCTCCTCCTCTTCCTCCTCCTCCTCCTCCTCCTCCTCCTCCTCCTCCTAAAGAGGACAACTATACATTTCATCAGTCGTAGTTAGGCCGAATTACTCCAATTGAAACCTGCCAAATCTCCTGGTGCGGATGAGATTCCTGCATTAAAAGTTCGCGAAATTGCTAATTAACTGTGTGAAGCACTTTGCATGATATTTCAAAAGTCGCCTGAAGAAGTCGAGCTCCCGAAAGAGTGGAAGTGTGCATTCATCACTCTTATTCACAAGGCAGGTTCGGCACTCGGTTGTGAAGGTTATCGTCCTGTCAGTCATACTTGGATCGCGTGAAAAATAACGGAGCGCGTTATCGAAAATCTTTTCTGTGATGTTCAACTAAACTTTCGTACTGAATGCTCTTGCGTCACGATTGTCATTTGCTAGCCTGAGAAATAGACAAGGGCACTGATAAGGTTATCCAGCAGATGTAATACTTTCGACTTCAATATGGCCTTTGATAGCATACCACAAAGACATCTTGGTTGGATACCAGTGTCGCAACACTCCGTTACTGATGCTAGTATTATTGCAGTTAGTTACCCATACTGTAAGCGTTGGTGGAGTAGCACTGACAGCCGTGGTGGCGGTGGTGGTAGTAGTAGTAGTAGTACTAATAGTAGGATTATTAGTAGTATTCGCCGTATGAGTGGTGGTAGACGGGGGAAAAAGTTTTCTTCAGTGTTGCGACACTGTATTCCCGCCAGTGGTAGTAGTATTAGTAGTAACAGCGGTAGTAGTGGTAGTAGTGGTGGTGGTAGTAGTAGTAGTAGTAGTAGTAGTAGTAGTAGTAGTAGTAGTAGTAGTAGTAGTCCGCCCGTAAGACAGGCTGGTGGGGGAATAGACTATTCTAAGTGTTGCGACACTGTATTCCCCCGGCATCTTTTACAGAAGATTATGGAGGTGGAAAATTGAGGAATAATGCTGGCATGGATTCGGAGTTTCCTGTCCTCCGGAGTACAGAGAGTCGCCATTAGTAATTCTACCGCTGAATGGGCAAGACTGGAAAGTAATGTTCCACAGGGTTCTGGTTTAGACCCACTACTCTTCCTGATTTATTTAAAGTATTTCACCAGCGAATCGGATTGTAAGGCTCTCGCGTTTGCGGATGACATAGAAATATGGAGCGAAGTCAGTTGTGCCGATGACGTAAAGAAGTTGCAATCGAACATCGACAAATTGAGTGTTTGGTCAAACAGGTGGCCCTTAAAGTTTAACGTTTCCAAATGCGTGGTCCTACACCTAAACGACGGCCGAAATGCCAATTCTAAATATCCTTCTTAGAAGATGCAGAAGGGAACAGAAATCTGGTTGCATGGATAACCACAAATATAACGCCGTCAGAACACCGTAAGATGGTTCAGAAAGTAATTAGTACCTTACACTGAACCAGACGTGCACTTAGAATAATTCCTCCTGAACGTCTCTTGAAGACTTTTAGCGCCTTTGTAAGATCCTACCTGAAATATGAAATGCCAGCAGGTAAACTATGGATGGTGAAGGATACTGACCTACTCAAAAAGGGGCAATACAAAGCAACGAAGATAACAATTCGACCATCGCTTCCGACGGTGTCCACCGTGTGCTACCCAGCAAGGTGAGAGCAGAACGATGACTTGTGCGTAACTTAGTTTGTAGATGCGGACTCGCGCAGCATCTATTTCACTCTCCTCTTCCCCACCTGGACCCAGTATCAAGACAGATTCAAGAGGACCGGAGGCAGTGGGGCGCAGGTGAATGGTACGGTCGAGTCCGCACCCTGGCACTCCACACCCCCTGGTCCACACAGCAAATGACTAGAATTTTAGCCAACAAAAAGAGGCTGACGCAGCCGGAGCCGCCCCTAGGTGTGCTGTTACACCTAGCGCGGATCGTACGGAGTGGGGGTGCCATAGAGGGAACATTAAGAAGAAACCTTTGAAGCCTGGCTCGCAGACCATCCCCACACGAACACACACTTGGCTGACTGTGAGGTCCAAGTTATTCCGTCAGTTGGCAACCTTGCAGGCCACGGTTCTGTACTCACCGTCATAGCTTAAAGCGCGTCAGATGGTTAATAGTGGGGAAAATACGATGAATCGTCGAGTCGACCTCAATACCCCTTTCCATTCCCAGGCCCTAGTCACTGTCCAAGCAGTTAGTTGACAGATGAGGGGGATGGGCGCAGAGGTTGGAATATCTAGTGTCCTTGTCTGCGCGCGCCACGTGCACCACCTGGCCCCCCAAAGACAAACACTAGGATTTCTCTCGACGGGCGTTGGGCGACACATATTTCACATGCTTGAGAGTGCCATAGGTCACGTTGGGAAGGGTCCGTTTCAGGTTAGCTCTTAGCCCACAAGTCCGTTACTTTAAACAAACACGCAGAAAACTGAGCAGACTGCAAGGGCTGAGTTGGGACATCGGTCACCATCCTTCCAAGCCACGGCGCATGACGTACCGTGATAGTCTCAGACTCGAATCGCACATGCAGCAGATGCGCCGCATGAAGACGGAGCCGAGACGCGCACTTCCCACATGCGTGGGACGCGGAAGTTGGATGCTTGTGGTGAGTGATAATGTTGTGTGATGCAGGTGGAGGAAGATGTGGTAGTGTGGTGTAGCCAGCGGTCGTCCACCGGCAGGGGTCGCGTCCTATCCGGACGCTTTCTCGGTGAAGAGCTGCAAGGCCCCCATGGTTTCGTGGATAGAGGGCGGAATGTCGAGGCCGGCGTTGTTCTCCACTTGAGGCAGACGGGCAATGGCGGTGTCGGAGATTTTGGAGAGACGGTTGAGAACATCCCTGAAGTGCTCGGCCCATCGCTGTGGAATTTGTGTCTTCTCGGTGAGTAGGGTGCTGACGTCAGCGCTGAAGAGGGGTTCAGCACCTTTGGTTGGCGCACCGTAGACAGCCTTGATCGCGGAGAAGAAATTCTTCCATTCGTTGAGTTCCACGTACCCTTGGATCTTCTCGGCCTTGCGAGCCGTCCAAGCGTCCTGCATCCCGCACAGCCGTTGTTGCACAAGGCGGTGACTATGGTAGAAGGCTGCTTTGATGTCGTCGGTGGGGCGGTTGACGTAGGCTTTGTGCAGTCGGTTCTTTATGGCCAGCAGATCATTGACGGCGACATCGTTTTCATCGAACCAGTCTTGATGCTGGCAACGTGCGCAACCGAGGACAGTCAGGGCTGTCGACTGGGCCGTGTCTCTCAGCTGGCATTATCGGTTCTTCACAGGGGCAGTTACGTCAGCAGCCGCGGCGACTGGAAGGTTGGCTAGACTTTGGGTTAGTTTATTACTAAAATGGAGATGTTGGGCAGGCAACGACCACCAAGCAATATTCAACGTACCTGCGGGTCACTCACCGTATGGCCTCCTGTGAGGCTGTAGGCGAATCCGCATCTTGGATATGACGAGGCAATAATCGGTCCATCCTTCGGCACCCCGGATCGCCTTTGTCACCAGCATGTCCGCTGGTCTCGCCTTCGGACACACCCAAGTGTGACTGGGCAGGATGAGCCGCTGCTGTGCGCAGGTCCGTAGGAGAACTAGGCCATTATCATTTGAGCCGTAGAGACCGTGGAGACCCGGCACTCCTCTCCAGGCAGTATGGTCTGTTGAAGTTACCAAGGAATATCAACTTGTCCGTCTTCGACACAGTCGTCAAGAGGACGAGCAGGTCCTCCTAGAATTTGTTCATTGCAGTGTCAGGGTTAGTCATCGGGGGAGCGTAGACGCTGACGATAGTGGCAAATTTGCCTCCCTGGAGAGGCAGGCGGAGGCCTATTAGGTGATCGTTGATGCCCTGCGGCAGACAGGGCAGTCGTCCCACGATATCGTTCCGGGCGGCAAAGGCGACGTCCGCGTCCCGTCATTCCGCCTTGGGTCGACCGTTCCAGATGAAGGTGTAGCCGACACCCACCTCCTCCAGTTGGCCTTGTTCAGAGAATCGGGTCTCACTGAGTGCGGCGATATTCGCCTTGTATCGCGCCAGTTCCCGGGCCACTAGCGCCGTCCTCCCTTCCGGTCAATTGCTCCTGCGATTGTCTAAGAAGGGACGAACATTCCAAGCTACCAGAATGGGCGGACTCACCCTACCAATCCGGGAGGCTGGGGCGGGGAGGAGGA